GTCTCGCGCCTCCTTTGGGTGTTACAGCCGAACGATTATTATTAATTATTTTTAATGATGGGAAACAAACGCTCAACAACCCACTGATGACGATGATGATGAAAGAGTGTTACAAGTGTACAATTATTATTAGGTTGTCAGAATAGGCCTGCCAAGTCCGTCCGCCATCCTGGAATCGGTCACTTTCGGAAATAAATAATGGAAGCTGCTGGGGTTTCACGTGAAAATCAACAATGATCATTTAAGAATTGAGTAAACGAACTTGAATTGTTTGTTTTAAACTTTCTTACGTGTTGGATCCAACTTTCTCATCCCCATATCTTGCGCTCTCTGTTTATCAGGTGTTCCGGTTTACAAGAATTGTATCTAACAGAAAACTTTCTCCCCGTGAGTCTTTTGCTTTTCTGAAATCTCGGAGTTTATACCTTCGTGGCACCCCAGTTCGGTTCTTTCACTCGTGGTTACATAGGACGTTACATAATGTTTGAGCAGCTGCTACACCATATTTACTAAGCTTTTAAAAGAAATTAAGATGAGTCAGGCGCCTGTCGCAGTTGTTCAGCTTCGGCAACGCAAAATCCCTGAGATGAAAATGACTTGGTCAACTAAAACTAGGGGGTGTTTCTCATTTGGAGAATGGGTTTTGAGCCTCGGATCACACAGTCTAACCCACAGGGCCACAGCTATCGTGGCTTTTTTTCGGGGGGGGGGGGACTAATGGCTTGCTTCAAATCAGTATCTCATCCTTGTTGGGAATCACCAGCATCTCTCGGGATTCGGACCGACAACCTTCTGAGTATGCTTCAGTGACTGGTCACAGTTCGGTGAACTTCTTGTTATTACGGCAATGCCTCAGTCCATTTCTTAGTCTGAAAGTTCCAAGTTAGCGCTCTTGTCAAAAGAAACACCAAAGGTGCACAACGTGTATTAAACGCCCAAAACCAGGTCAAAACACATGAACACTGTGATGTTTATAGATGGTTTTAAAATGGCTGGTGGAATACTCCTGCCCGATGGACTAGAGCCCAGTATCTGACACTAATAGACGCGAATCGTTTCTTTGCTTCGCTGAACCACTGCGTCCTTTTATCGATTAATTTCAGCGCTTGGCATCCATCCTTGAGAGTGGCACTTCGTGTTGGACCAACCATATGGAGTAGGAAAGAATGCGAGATAATGTGGGACAGAAAAGTTTCGGCGTTCGATGCCGCCTTTCTCAGACCACCACCTTTACGCCAGCTGGAATCCACAGCGAACCTCTATCAATATTGAGATGAAGGGACTGTGATTGTTGATGAACCTAAAGCGTCCTTAAATCGGCTTCGTTTTGGGAGCTCCTTCAACAACCAAGTACTTTCGGACATTAGACCTGTTAGGGTTGTGATGATTCAACAGTAAGAAGCGATATTTCAACGAAATACCTCTGTGTTTGTCAAGAGAAAGTCTGTAATTTGCCGCGTGCTGTTACTGCCCTGATCAACATGCACTCCTGATCTCAATCCCATTGAGAACTCGTGGAGCATGCTGGTCAACAAATACGCCGAAATCTGTGGCTCTGAAGTTTTAGAAGAGGTATCGCCAAGCATTTCACAGTGCTTTTGAGGCGAATTTGCAAAAATGCGTTATCAAAGGCTTTACACATCACTGTTAAATCACGTTATCTTCTTTCGGTCAGTACAAATCATTGGTTTATAAAACGGAAAGTGAACAATACAGGCAGGGGAAATAAATATAAAACGAAGTATGTGAATAAATGTGTGGGAACTGTGTACGTCATTGAAGGTTGGTCTGAGTGGTCAGCCGGTGCACGTACGAACGCTTTTTGAATAAGCAGATTCGGGCTATGTGAGTGAATCACCATTGCCGAGGGTAGAACTGGTATTAGAGGAATTTTCGTGGATAGATAAGTGCTCGGTACAGTGTTCTCAAAGTGCTGTCAGAAATAATCACATAACATATATCAGCAAAGTGAGCGGTCACTGTGTTTGGAAAAAAAACTTCATCGATCCGCTTGTCACCTAAACCGGATTATATCCCTCTGTTTTCCCGCATGTCATATTGTATCCCTTACGTATTCTCCTCTAAAACAGCTTTTAAAGGTGCAGAGTTGAGAATGGGTCCTCAGCTTATCTATGTCTCGTTCACTTAGGTTATTGAAAACTCTGTTGAGGTTACCCTACCCTCGCGCCAACTTTTTCACGTCAGTTTTCTATGTCAGCTCTTCCAATACGCAATCCTGTGAATTCTGAATGTATGTTCTAAATGCCGACCAAAAAGTCATTTTGTTCGGTCGATTATTGATGGAGTATTTATATAAAATGTCGGTGGTTCTACAATTTCATCGTGAACTGCATCTGCTTACTGGCACTACGATATCTGAGGAAAACGACGTGTCGAAAATGAGGGACTCTGATTTACTTGAGTTTATTGAAGATTTCTGCAACAAACTTACGCAGGTAATTATCGTCCTCATGAACAACCAGGTTGTTGTGACCAAAAATCCCCATAATTTGATTTGCTTTGAAGAAACTACTGCTACTGATTAACAGTAGTACCTCACAGCGTCACCAGTCAAACATAAGGAAGTACTACACATCAATCCCTGGAGCTACAGCTTAGCGCAGTTTCCGTTAAATGGCTACCTGTGCTTGTATCGTCAGTCCAGGATTCTCCTGGACTGAATTGCGGAAGACAACCGCGGAGGATCTTCATCATTGTCAGCCGTAAGATCTGCGTACTTGTCGTACGTGGTTATCGCTCCCACAATTTCGTTAATCGATGATTTGGGGAGGATCCTAATTGCCTTCGTCATTTCGATTCAAAATCATTTGCGCCGGAAAAGGTATTCAGCAAAACAGTCTGTGTTGTGGCCGTATACGGAGGCTCCTTTCAACCCAGACATATTCTGTAGTTTCCGGAAAATTCAGTCCTGGCCAAGTTTCCGTAAGAGCTTCCAGGAGAACCGTCTCCATGCGCCTTACTGTTCGTTGTTCGTCTACTTGTCTGCTTACCACAGATAATCGTGTCACTGACTGTTTAGGTACAGTCGTTTACCTGCAGATGTTTGCCCATAGCTATCTACTCGTCTGCCATCCTACGCCCTTCGTACCTCCCTCATTACGTGAGATTTCGTGTTATTCCATCTCTTCCAGACCATGCCGACGACTATTGGCAATTTGACATCAATGTTCTTGTTAAACGTTGACCAGAATCAGCTTACCGACTTACCAGTGGAGGTGAGTGATTTATTCCACCACTTATCACGTAAATCTATTCAATGCTGCTTTGATACTGAGGTCGCCGGTGAGCTGTAGGAGGGATGCGGAGAGGAATGAGGTCTATCCTACATCTCAAAGGTTGTTCTACATTCCTACAAGTGATCTTGTTACGGGTCCCTTTAGGCATGGGTTGAAGTATTGATTGTAGCTCTCCAGTATATTTCGTGACTCCGTCATGATAGAAAACGTCACGCAAGCCTTTTTGCCTCCGCTAGCTGTTTTGTTAACATAGTGCGAGTGAAACAGGGTGAGGTGCACTGAATGTGGAAGCTTGGATATCGACTGGTCGTCTCCATCTGCCTGCGTCAGTTTACACACTTCACTTCGAGGCGATGTTGGTTGCGGCGGGTAATCAACCGCTGCATTTGTTGCTGTTCACCACGTTATTGCTTTGAGTTTTCAATCGTTTGAATTACTAAGTTGTCTTAATCGAATTTTGATTTGGACTTGACCTATAATGTGCCATCGCATTCTGCTGATACATGGTAACTTGCCCGATCATTTTAGAAGGACCCTCTGCTTTCGTCTCTTGTCCTGTGTGAAGACCTATGAGGCTTCCTGTTCTTTTCTTTTTGATCTTTTCTTCCGTAGCCTTCGCAACCATCGAGGTTGCTCATATACCTGCCTTCCGTGCATTGTAGATTGGCAAGTGCACCTCACTAAACATTCTGTCACTTCGAGAGAATTTGCTCCGTCGCATTCCGAAAGAGATTGGCAACTGTCTGCGACTACGTGTGTTGGACGTTTCGGGCAACCGGTAAGTATGCCGGCGCTCGTTGTTCGGTACTGTCTGTGTTTTTTTGGCGCACACTGCTCATACGGAACGAAGATTTGGTTAAGAAAAAGCCGACCGAATTTTATGCTGTGCGAAAAATACAGCTTCAAAGGTATGTGAATTGAAATGGATGAATATCCAGACGGACTTATGGAGTCTCCTAAATTGTTTATCCGACCATTCTTCGGCTATCTATCCATCGTTGACAAACGCCCACCCATAACAGCCACATCTCTTGCACTGTGATAACGTCTGGTGCCTTAAGGCTAGTCCAAGCTACGGTATACGGTATAACTGACATGGTCATCTTAGCCCCCGCAAATGTCCCTGGGTTTTAATGAACGCTCAGTTGAAAGCCCGGAATTGCCGAAAGTAACTCCTATTGAGCGACTGTTTGATGGACCAGTTGCGGGCCCAATGTGGACGCACCATGGATGGTCACAATGGGAACCGAGCTTCCCCGTCCCGTCACGCAGTTTTATCCTGCGATTGCTGTATACATACTGTTGTGGTGATCTCGCAGCTCTAGAAGCACATCACATCCAAACGGTATAAAACAGAGTAAAATCTTCCAGTAAGGCAGTCTCGGCGAATTCGAGAATTCAGTCTGTGCCTCGGTGTTTCGAAACCATGGTTATATTGCCTGTCTACCACATGAGCGGATCCGTAACAGATTTTTTCAAAAGACCGTCGAAAGGTGTCCAGCTCCACAGAACTACAATGCAGCACACACTTTCCTTAGTGGCGGAATTCTGGATCCTCAGGAAATGTTCAGTTTAAACCAATAATTTCCTACAAGCTGTCATGTGACTGCCAATCTTTTGAGATCAGAGTCGGCTGAACATGCGTCAGACACAATCACTTCTGCTTCATCAGCAGTCCGTGAAGGTCGAAGGTTATATTTGACAGGCACGTTCTGTTCTCCACCTCTTGCTCCGTGTTATTAACTGCAGTCCATCTACACCATATCGTTTCCCAGTCATCTTACAGCTAACCGGGGAGCCGTCCCTCCACCTAAAAAGTCCCAAAGTCCGCTTACCATTTAATCTGCTTAGCGGTGCTAGGAATAGAGTGAAATAAAAATCATCATACCCGTATTGATGCTGTTCATCAGTCTCAACGCAGACTGTGTAATATAAGCTGCCGGGGTTAATTTCAATGACTGACACCGAACTGCATCACAGTATGTGCTGGGATTTGTTTGTTAAAACGAGGCCGAGATATAAGACATTTGTGTAGAATAGAAATGGAGGTTCGTTAACAGTAAGGAAAAAATTACAGTTTGGATGACCGAAGTCCACGTACGCTTATGCTGTCCCAGTGGATAAGGGTGGACATCTAATATGTCACCCTCCACACGACATATAACGCAAGAAGATACTGCTCTATTTCTCTCCACAAACGCTGTTCCACGTGCAGTGAGTAATGTCCTTCCACGGTCTGCTGACATTGATGTTGACCACTAATTTAATGTTAGCTTCACTAAGAGGGTAAGACACAAGAACTAAAGACCTGTGTAAGTGACACAAGAACACGTAGGTAGTAGAAAAAACGGATAGATGAATCGATAAAGCCATGATAAAATGATAAAATAGAAACCAACGTGATGTCAGTTTTTCTATCAGGGGCAGAGTACACACTGCGACAATGCGTTGTAAGTTAAAAAATTAAGCCGAATAATTGGCCGCGTCTGGTGGGCTCATCAGATCAGCAATGCTGAAGTACATCGTGTGGTCTTAAGAGAAATGAGCTACTCATGCTTCATAGGCTACGCTGGCTAGGATATATACTTCGTATGCTAGAGGTTCATCTACGTCGCAGAGCTCTTTTCGCCCAACCCTGTGGTGATTGGAAGCAATCGAGAGGTGGACATTCTATGACCTGGCAATGAACTAGTAACGCACTAACCAGTGAATCGATTTGTGTTGATAACCGCCAACTCCCTGGATAGAGACCCCTGGGTGGGATCTGAGTCTTCAATGGCTACTGACACTGAGAGACCTGGTTCAACCACACATTCAGTGGCGCTCTTTCATCAAAGCCATCACCTTCAATGCACGGATGTCTACTTTCCTGTTTCTCGACATAACTGTGCTGACTTAATACGAAACAGCTGATTATACCGTCGCCTGCAATTCGTACCCATGTTTCTCTTGCTATCCCGTTTTTCGATGACTAAAACTGTTGCAGCTGAAACCAACGTATCTCTGGTACTTGGTCTATATGTGGTGAATTAAACCGAGGTTGTAAAATCGAAATGCCACAGTACTCGAGATAGCTCAGTGCTTGAAACCCAACTTACTGGCGGTGAGTTCGCTGTTTCGAACCCAATCTGTGCATTTTGTCTGCTCCTGTCTAGACTTGGGCAACGTTGCAGTAGCTCAGCCCCCGGGCTTTCTTCGGGTGACATGGCGGCAATGCAACAAACGAGTGTTACAGCTTAGTGATTATTTTTTATTATGAGATACCCGAATATAGTTCGGTGACATCGAAAGGGTGATGGGGCTAAACAGTGACTGCTGACAGTAGTAGTTGTTGTAACAGTAGAAGTGTAGGGGACTGTTGCGACACTAGTTTGCACTTATACTTAACCTTATACTAAACCCAGTAGGCTTTCAGGAGAAAGTATTTTAGCGAGCCTTGAAAAACTCGAAGAGGCCCGACGATTGGTTGTAGGCAATACCGCTTGTATGTGTTTGGTGCGACGCCATACTCCCCAACTTCCTAACCATACACGGAATTCATATGATCCTAAGGGAAAGTTGTGATAATTCTACTGGGCCAACCCCCTAATGAAGGTTAAACAATAGGTATGTGACCGGAATGAGGTGCCCATCCTCAGGATGCACTAAGTAAGATAGGTTATCCTGCCTCCGCTAAGTGGGCACAACTACTACAATCAGTGTGCTTTTTTGCTCTGGACTTTTGCATGCGACGGTAGATAGAACCACTCTGCTCCAGTCATAACAACTGTTCTTTTTGGCCCATTTGCTGCAAAGCTCACGCACCGCATCACAGATTTTTGTTTGATGTTGACGACTTTTGGCAATCCACTTGTCAGAAAGAGACCGCTTTGACGGCCAAGCATGAACCAAACTTGCTGTTTGGATGAGTGAAACGGTTTCAGTCCACAATGTAAAACCAAGTCTTTGACGTATCTTGTTCCACTCAAGTTATACGCTTTATTTCGCCGTTTCGTATTCTTTGGTAACCTCGAATTTACCTGGCGACAACTGCAACCATTGGTTGACTGTCAACATGTACTGTATTTGTTGATTTTTACTAAGTTTGTCAACTATGTTATTCACAAACATGTTGTATACAGTGACGTTTAAAAATCCTCCTTTTGCTGAATCGCTTTTATCTCTGAGCTTGAACAGCTTGCCAGCCCTCTTCGAGTTACACAGCAACCATTTACGGAAAGGTGCCACAGCTAATTGTCACTATTATTGTTATTAATATTATTTTGAGTAGGAGATAACTGTGGTCACCAACAACATTCCAACGGTCGACCGATTTGTGGTGATCCCATTAGAAAAAACTGTGCATGTGGAGGGAATCCATTTCATGTTTTTTATGTATACGACGAAGGTATATCAACTGACGCCAATATAACAACATGCGTAACGTGTCCTCCAACTTAGAGAGCCACGTCTATAAATAGGCACGTCGGCTGACGACATAATGCACTAAGAATAATAAACGAACCGGGATGGTGTCTATGTGCATCGATCAAATTTGAAATGAGTTGTGTGAGAATCGGAAACCAAATCGAAAACGGACCCCGTCTTCCTGATACCTAGGTGGTATCGTTTAAGCACACTAAGCGGTCGTGGACAAAAACAGTATTATCGTCATCAATATGGACAGCATAACATCAATGCTCAACGCTGATGCTTCGCTGTCAACCAACCATGATTTTTTTCAGAGCCTTATTCTCTGTAGGAAAATAAAATTGGATAGGAAACAAACTTAGTGCTAGCCTACCACAATCATTCCGGGGGACTTACACCCCCAGACTCTTATTCCGGTAACCTGGGTAGAAACTGACAGCCAGAACGCCACTTATATCGATTAGTGGCGATATCTTGCTGCGTCTCCAACTATACACAGGTGCGGACCCCATCCTGGAATGCGAGTTACATCAACAGTAGCCAGACTTCCCGTGAACGATTTCTTTACTGTTTGCCAGGTCAACGTGTGACCACCTTTCTGCTTGCGACAGTGAACTGGGCACGGAAAACAGCACTTTTCAGCAAACAATGAGTCGGCATGCGCGACACATTCTTCGATTGAAGTCCCCGTTGCACAGCCGAACACTTTAATCATTGGGTTGAGGGTTCCTTGGCAGAAACTCACACGAGGGGCGAGTCTCGGCCAACGGTTGTTGGAGACCTGAGGACATCACAGTTCCGTTGACTGTAGATATTATGTCTCACAACCTTACAAAACAACCCCTGACTGTAGCCTGCTACACACGTCCCTCGAGATTTAGGGATATTCCGCTTTTGCTCCATAAGTGTCTCAAATTAGCAGATGCAGCCTGTGCCTTACGGACTCATCTGCCACACTACAATCCGAGCTTACGCAAATTCCAAAATACATAAGAGTGCTTCTCCTTGGATTGCAAGCGGTATGTTCAATAACTGCATGTCCTTGTGGGTGCAAAACCTATGCCGAGGGTATGGCATGCTCAATTCATCCAACAGTACTTACACCTTTTTCTCCTTTTCAATGATGGGGACAAAGTCTGCGTATTCCAGATCGACATGGTTCTCATGGACAGCTGTTTAAACATAAAAGTTTTGGAGACCGTCCCGTTGCCGTCTCATTGCCTCATCATGAAATCAGTTAAGAACGGAAAGAATGGGCATCATTTAGTGTACGAAAACTTTCGAGAACTGTCACACGCCTTCAAGACGGAGAATAGAAGGGGCTTATTATAGTGATACATTCCTTGCTGGATATGCGTGGCAATGTTTCCATACCGGTCAAGTGAGTCAAATTCGCCTTGGAAATCCAGGTACGCGAAAACTGTGGGTCGCTGATACTTATGACGCTGTTCTAACACCTATCAGTGTGAAGATTTAGCAAACCCAACGGGTATCAGGCCAGAATCCTGATTGCTGCTCTTGAATCAGAGCTTTACGAGCCACCATAGGGCGATGAGACACAAATAATTTCTTTCTACGACTGAATCCAAGCTTATCCCTCTATGATCACCACATTCACTACGGGATTTATCGCGTTCCCTCCATTTGTCTGGAACAGTTTCCTTTTCCAAGATTGAGGCAAATTGGTCAAGAAAGCGGTGACTGAGGACGTTACCCCATCCTTTAAGAATGCAAGTGGGAGGTTATGCAAACCAGGAACTCCGTGGCGCTTGCGAGCACAATAAACCTGAGTTCGTGTGGATTCCTAGGTCTAGCGTCCAGAGTTCTAGCCCAGTGTCACAATTCGACTAAGTAGTATCTGGTGGCCATGAGAGGTGTTCTTCGAAGTATTCACCCCTGTGGTCAAGGTTTTCTCTATTGAAGTGCAATTCTTCATGTCATGGTTTGAATACTCTTTTGGATCGCATAGGCTTGGTATCGGGCATTCGCAGGTTTCTCTCGAGAGAGTTCACGATCCCGATTAAGTTAAAGTAATAATTTTATCAGGCGCCTCGTGTAGAAATGCACAGGTGACTCAACATGCAGACGCTCTGGATTATACACATATGACGTTCCTAAATCATATATACCCCATATGTAGCACATTTTGAATTTCATTCTTAACGAGTTCGCCTTGCATTGATGTTTGAGCTGCTGTAGCCAGGGCTTCAGAATACAAAATTTATAAGTTAGCTTGCACCTGAACTTACAGATATGCTGTTTTGCTGCTTGTTGTTGCCTCCGTTATATTCGATACCTACAGTAACTAATGTTTCTCATCCTCTCTCATTCACAGACTAGAACGACTCCCTTTGACTTTGGCTCAGTGTCCACTCGCGGCGTTGTGGCTTTCTCCCAACCAATCACAGCCGGTTATAACCCTTCAGAGGGATGTAGATGAGATCACACAGGAACAATTTCTAACCTGCTACCTGCTGCCACAGGATCAGCTGACGTCCCACATAGAGCTTGGTATGTCTTTTTCACCGTTTTAGTTTCCCTTTTGGGTAGGTGTAGCAGGTGTAAAAATGACTAGAAATCTATCCTGAATGTCCGATCCATTGTCTGTGCAATCAGCCTGCATTGGATTCGTGTGCTTCGATACCAAGGGCTTCTGGTATACCTATAATTGCCCACTATGTGAATTACTTGAAGGCCGTAGCCTTGTCATGTTAGCTTTCGAAATCCATTCCTTAGGTAAATTATTTTCCCCATCCTTTTCATTTCGTAACCCACTTTCATAACGGCCAGGTGGCGGTGGCCCCCATATCTCCGTTTTATTCATCTCCCTTTTGAATGGAGTCCACCAAGTTGTACTGCACTTGTTGATAAACACAGACATGAGACTGTTGAGTTACCAATCAACCAGTTTACAGGTTCCAATTATACGTGACATCCTTTTTAGTTTTATTGCTGAAAAAATGCAAGTTACTTCCTTGCTCAGGCTATTCACATATTCGGACATGTAGCGCGGATATTGCTGTGTTATGTAGCGCCACCAACTGTTCGCTTTATGTTAAGGCTTAAATAAATCAAGGAATAGCGTGCCGGTATTCGAACAAACATCACAGTGAGTTCAATCCATCACCGATGTTCCCCACACTGTCCACTACAGTGATTAACTTATCGCACATTGAGTCTTTAGGAAGTGGATGCTCAGGGTAAGCTTTACGAGCTATCGCTCATCACCATATAAAATGCAGCGACTACATTCACAATCCTATTCAAGTGATGTTCCAGGACTAACGAAACCCAGAGCTGCTGTTCAAATGGAACACGTACACTAGGATCTCGATGCGTTTCGGACAGTATGAGTGGCCGAATAGACGAAGGCCCGAACACCTTTTTTTTACCTTACTGACTATATCGCTTATACCAGAAAGTGAACTCTTCGTTCGTCAGCCCAGCCCGTCCCCATCCTTCACCTGGTCCACGTAGCTCTGTTCAACTGTCAGTCACGTAACAATTGCTCTATGTCCAAGCTGCCGCCCTGTAAAACAAGTCGAAATAACCCTTTAGTAGACTCAGAAGATCGGATCCACATTGCAGCTTTCGATTTCCGTATTCACTGTCGAATCGGGCAACGTGTATCCCTTGCTTTCTCTTTCCGTCAGTGTTAAAGCAAGTGTTGAATACCTGAGTTTATGGGCTGTGTAGGACTCACTCCATTAGAACTAGAACTGGGTCAGTGGTTAGAGGGCCTAATCGCCGACCGCCGCACCTGGGCAGCCGCAATTTAAAACGTCTCATTCCTACGTGAAAGATGGCCGAGGTAAAGTAAAATAAGAAAAACCGAGTATAGAGAGAATTTGAGATAGCTTAAGAAGTAAAGCACGAGGTGTTGACCGAGGCGTTACCACCGCCTCCTGCATTTTTCTTCATTTGTGTGTAGACATAGGTGACCTGTCAGTTTCGTAGCCATCCATCTCGCATGTTCCCACTGCAGCAAAACAGCACCACATAACGGATGAGGATACGGTTCAGGAAATTCTTAATTGGGATGCAAACCCGTTCGTTGAGCTACTCTAGAGGGTGTGCAGAAAAACCTACTAGGCTTCTCGACAAATGGGTAAACAGACTGGATTTTTCCGCTCCTCCGAACTGTTCCGGACAGCATGAAAGCTGTCTCATCGTTCCAGTCGACTGTTGGTCCGTTTTTATGTGTTTGGCCCATATTACAACGAACAGGTTTTCATCGAATGACATTTTACGTCCATTCATTGACTGACTGACCGACCGATTCTCCTTTGTGTGTTCTGTACCCACAGATCCAACCATGACTCCATCCGAATTGGCCAGCCTAACTGCCCCCCTGGGACCCGCAACTGACTCTACTCGTCCGATTCCAGATACGGAAGCCATCCAGACAGAAACCAACTACGCCTATGAGCCTGCTCATTCTATCCTATCCGGTCTTTCTCACACACCACTGCGTTGGACTGATGATCAACCTGGAGCCCGCCCAGTTAGTGTGAATTCATCCACTACCAGTGGTACTCGTATGCCTTCGGCCCCGGTTAGTCCTACCGGCTTAGATGGACCAGGAAGCATCTATAAACCATCAACAACTACTCGTTTCTCTCCTTCCCCTCGGAACTCACTCTCTGTACAGTCTGGTGATATGGATCCCAACAACTCCGGCTTCTCTCGTGTTCACTTCTCTACTAACGCAAAACAGGATGAATCGGTGAGCATAGAGTTAGTGTTTAGTTCATTGCAGTTGTACGTCCACCGCTCTCCTATTTGGGTTGTTGAACACACGGGAAGTTCACGGGAGATGTGAAAATGGCTCGAATCAGCTGACCAGAACTCATTTTTTTCAAATGTAATTTCAATTCCTCTCTCGAATGCAACCTTTGTACCAGGCTTACGCAGGGTCCACTGAATTCATTCATGTATCGATCGGTTGACAGGCTCACTCACATTTTGCGTAGGTACGTGATTTCTGTTCATGCTACTTACACATTTCGATAAGTGAATATACAGGCCGGCTGCGATGTTCTCTACCAGACGAACGCGTGACACCAGTTAGCATTCAAGACTTGTAGTCGGGCTGACCCATTAGCTACTTACACAGCCAGTCTCTTGCAAAGAAGCATCGATTGCGCACTTCAGGCTTACTCCAAGCTTGGCGACGGTTTCATTACACAACAGTTTTAAGATTGACAGTAGTGTTGTTGACACCATGCTCACGAACTAAATGAATATACGTGGGATATGCCTAAAACACGCATCACATGCATCATGCATAGAGGATGAGATGTCGGAACCAGACCTTTGGTAACTGTGGTCGTCCTCTGAACTTTCGTCCGTCGACGAGCCAGTCAATTTCAGATTATGTAAAATGAGCCTGCGCATTTGTTGGATACTTGACGCCACATCCTGTCTACTTGCGCTAACGATGGGTCACGTGTACCTGCATGCTGTAATGCTCCCCTAAACTGAAGGTCGCAGCTTCAAATCCGTTTGGAGATTTGTGAAATTCACGCTGACTGGGGTTGCCAATGATGAGTAAGACAATCGCATAGTGCTTTTCAGCCTTCCAGCACATTCTGATACTGTCTTGCATGATTAAATTCACGGCTAAAACTGGTTGTGGTCAAGGAGACTGATGGATGCGCTCCATGTGACTCAACTCTCTCTAATAGGCCGCATAATTCCGTCACTGTTGCAGATTGTTTTTGTTTTGGAGCATCACTACATTTCAGCCATATTACACGACCTTTGGTTCTTATGTGAGACGGAAGGGCAAAACATCCGATGGGAATCCGAAAATATCCGTGCCCTTGACCTGAACAAGGTCCACTTCTCTTCATAAATGAGGAAACCTGAACGCTACGTAGCACGGTAATCAACGTTGTCTGATTTGGATGAGTTAGACGCCAAATTTAATGCTGCTCAGTGTACTTTACGGTCGAACATACGACCTGGAAATGTGTTCATGATTTAGGTGTTGCGACGCCAGTGGGTCAGGCATTCATTATTTGATTAAGTGTTCTGGTTAATGTAAGG